GTTTATGATCTGTCTCCGATGACACTGATTTTTTCTGATATAAATGTTGTCGGCGCGGTGAGGGTGCTCAAATATGATCTCATTTATAACGAAATGGAGTAAGCTATTAAAAAGATGAAAAGATTAGCAAAGAGTAAAAAGATTAACGACCGGTGAACTGCAAAAAGCGAATAGAGACAGGATTAAAACAAATATTAGAGAAATGAAGAAGCGACCCCCACATCACTACCTCGTCTCACCCCATCCCCGGTAAAACCTTAGGGCAAAGATCCCCCAAAGTCTTTGAGCACAATTGACACTTTCATGTTTCTCTTTTTCTTTCTTTTTTATTAAATTCCCAATCTTATGACCCAATATTAATGATCCGATTTCTTATGAGATCACCGGCAGTACTTATTAAAAACATGCATTACAAGTTTCAGTTACATTAATTATATATGTGATTATATGCTATCTTTAACAAAGATGATTCATTAAATAAATCCATCAAATCTTATTCATATCAAATGATTTCATGTACAACGTATACTATTTTTCAAATGATTACATATATAACAGATAAGATTTATTAAACATATCCATCAACACATTCATTCACTGTGGTATTTACATATACGGGTTGTGATTGGTAAATTACCGCCATTTTATATTTTTCATTTCGCGCATGCGCTTTCTTTGTCTTCTTATTTTTGTCGTCTGCACAGTGTACTCAGGTCAGTTGGGCACCATCTGTGAGAAAAAAGAGCACCATAACGCAATTCAGTCCGCTAGAAATTTCCGAACTGCATGCTATACTGCTTGCGCCGGAATCTCTAATACGAACAATTCAGAGTATTTGGTTGTCTATCTGAGGACAGTCCAGAGGACTGAAAATAGTTGGATGCGTCTAATGGTGATGACGAAAGTAGGGCAACTCGGAAAATTCACTCTGAGTGTTCTGATAAGGAAAGAACTCTTGAATTTGTCGGTGGAGGCTTCAGACTCCTTGTTGAGACCTATATCAAGCGCCTTCATGAGGTACTGCTGACCTGGGTCAAGAGAGTGGCCACTGAAGACCAGGACACTGTACCATGCCATACAAGCCATGGCTGTCAGACAATTTCTGTAATATCACCCCTTTCATCTGGCCAACTAACTCCACAGACTGCAACCCCCTTGGTTATTATGTGTGGGGCAAAGTTAAACGAGAGACCAACAAAACTCCTTGTAACACCAAAGATGAACCGAAGACAAAGATTATGGCAGCATTCACCATCTTAAACAAGGAGACCGTCCAGAAGAGATGCAGGAGATTCCGAAATCGTATGTCAGCCCTGGTTGAAAGTCATGCCGATTTTATTAAATAAATTTACTCTTTAGTATTTCAAGATATTTTTGTGTAATTTTGGTAAATATATCTGTTAAAATGGGATGTCAGTGTTATTTTCATTTTTGCGTAATTTCGACATCAATTTATCCATCGCAATCTGTATAACCTAGAAAGGTTTACGGAATGAGGAATAACCAAAACGGAGTTTGGAAATGAAATGGTAATCTTTATAACATCAACAAACTACAATACTCGCCAGCGGCGTGAAATAGGTAAACCACTGCTAGTGGTGAACTACTTAGACGGCATATTACGATATTTACCTGCCTTCACACGAGGTAGGATGAGGCACAAGGCCAAATTTAATGTGGGGAAACCCGAGCCCGTGGGATCCAGCAAAACTTGCCCGTAGACCGCGTATACGCGAGGTTGGGTATTTGTCTATCTCCCCGGACGAGACTCTGCCCTTCGGCATAGCCTTGTCTGGGTTTCTCTCTGTTCGAAAGCAGAGAGTTCGAAACAGCAAGAGCTTCCCACGCTGACAGCTCACGATGCTAGCGTAGACAGCATATTACGATATTTACCTGCCTCCTCAAGAGGCACAAGGCCAAATTTAATATGTTAGCTCGGGCAAAAATTGCCCGTAGCCCCCCTCATACGCGTAAGTGGGTATTTGTCTACCTCCCCAGACGAGACTCTACCCTTCGGCATAACCTCGTCCGGGTTCAAAAACAGAGAGTTGGACACGGCAAGGGTTTCCCACGCTGACATCTCACGCTGCCAGCTTAGACGGCATATTACCCCCACTTATGTCCAACATAAGCATATTACATAAGCATATTACCCCCACTATGTCCAACATATTTATGAGGATTGGGACATACCCATTAGTTTTCATAAGTGCGGTACATGACAGTAACGAACAGAATTTACATGAAAAATCCATCAAAACTTCCATTAGCACTAAGGATTACATATATAAAATGTAGCATTTATTAAATAAATATGACAAAACATTATTTCACTCTAATTACATGTATTTAATATCTTCTACTACTACCCATGAATTCTCTTTTCCAGGCTATCTTCTTTGCCGAATAGATTCTAGCATACATAAGCAATAAGTAATATCCGGGAAAATCTTCCAATGCCAAGGAAATTTTCCTTTGAGTCTCTAGATGGTTCTTTCATGTGTTTTCGACTTTTGTTATTGCACTCTGTTATATCTATCTCTTTTTCCTTTATCGCTCCCTTCTTCCCAGGAAACTTGAAAATCTGAATACCGACAGCATTAACATTACAATACTTAAGTCAGTTATGATGAACATTAAAATCACTAAATGAGGAAGGAGGGCCTAGAGAATCTGATACTCACAGGTCGAATAGACAGAAAGAGAAACAAGGGAAAGCAACACATGACATACCTAGCGGCATAATCTGTATAACGGAAAGAAAGCGGATGACAGAATGTGGTCTGGGGAGCTGTCAGAGGGACGAAACTTATTGAGAACTACAAGGAATAGGAAGAAGTGGAGAGCCATGATCGCCTACGTTCTGAAAGGACACGGCAGATGAATGAAGAAAATAAATTGTGTGTGTATGTGTGTGTAAGTTATTTCTATACTGTCATAAATGTTTGTCTAACATATTGCAGTCCTTTAAAAAAATTTCAATCACTTTTAATTCGGTTTGAAGTACATCAAAGTATTTTGTTTATTGAAAATATTAAATTTACTCTTTCAGCTTTACATTATTCGGACTATTGTCCTCAACTTTGTTGCCATAGTTATCACAACGTTTCGGCCGTTGTAAGCTCCGGTCTTCTTCAGGTGGTTGGAATGTCGAACTAAACCCTTTATTTCGCTCACTGTTCTAGTTCCACGTGCCATGTCTAATGGATGTCAGTTATCAGTTATCTCCTGTTAATTGCCCTCTCCAAGTTCTCCACTGCCTTAATCAGATATTGAACTCACACTGTTTGGTTCCTGTCACTGGATCTAACTATCACCTTTATCCACTGTGCCATGCGTTCTCTGGTGTCTTATCAAGTGACTGTGTGGAATAAGGGTTTTAAAAGGTTCTTTTAAAGCCCTTCATTCTACATTCAACACCATCACTTGATACGAAACCAGAAGTGTTGAAATAAAATGGCTATTTTTGTAGTGATTTTATAACATATTTATGTTATAATTTTCGAATAAATAATTATATTTGCGCTACTCTGTATTGAGCACTCTTTTAAGAATAGTAATTGTTGGTTATTGAAATTTATTCCGTATACACCAATCCTATACTTATAAAACTTCTTTATATGCATATATGTGTGTGTGTGTGTGTGTGTGTGTCTGTGTGTTTGTGCATGTCTGTGTGTGGTAATCCGGGAAACCTACAGTGAATTTCCAACTGAACCTTTCATTTAATCTACGGGGCTAGATTGTTCTCTTTACACTGCGCATGTCTACGGATATCTCATCTAGTTCTTATTTAGTATTGTTCGCTCACTTTACACTGATTTCAACTACACACTGCCCAGTCCAGTGGAAATGAAACGAGCAATATTGAATAAGAACTAAAAAAGAGACAGGGGCAGTGAAACGAGAACAATCTAACCCTGTACATTTTTAAAGTGTGATATATTTATGGGATAAAGTGCTCAATATCAGAGATAGAGCGTATGTAAATATAAATATAAATGAAACAGCCTGTCGCCTCTGAGTGTTGACTTCAATGTTCATTTTTATATTTGTATTTACAAACCAGCCATAACTATTTATAGTAAAATGATCAACAATACATTTTATCTGTAGTCGTAAAAGACGATGGAAAATTCGACACCGAGATCCGAAGTAGGAATTCAGAAGCTAAGCAAGATGCTGGGAAATGGGGGGAAAAAATCATTAGAAACAAAGATATTTTTGCTATATTGCCACACGATATCCATCCCGTTATATGACATCGAATGTTGGAATTTCTCATGGATGAGAAAATACCTACAAGCAGCAGACATATATTTCTACAGATGGGTATTGAAACTTCCGTAGAAGTCTTAAAGAAAATGGCAACACTTTCCTACTCAGAATCAAGACGACTGAAATACCTTGGAAACATAATGGATACATCATCTCTAACTCATCTCTCTCTCTCTCTCTCTCTCTCTCTCTTTACATTATTTCTTTGTGGGGTACGTTCTTTTATTTTCTACCGTCTACAAGTGGTACCCATCCTCTTATATGGTAGTGAATCTTGTACGATTTTCCTAGGGTATTATATATATATTTTAATACTAGTTTTCATGAAATACAGGGCCCAAGAGCTATTCAAAGTAGAGTGTTACTGTGTGATGTTGTATGGCTGTGAAACAGGCAAGAAGTGAATTTCATGGGGAGGGCTATGAAGGAAAGATAACGATGAGCCCTACACTTGAAGAGGTCAATATTCTAGTGATTCATTTAAGAGTCGTTTATTTTTGTTGTATCTGTCCTCTTATATGATAGTGAACGTAGGAAAATTTATCTAAGGGTGATGGAAAAAAACCAAACTAGAAGCAGCTGAAAAGTGGTTCTACAGAAGGATACTGAGATTTCCATGGATGGATTGAGTAAGCAACAAGGAAATCTTAAATAAGATGGAAACAGAAAGAACACTTCTACTGAGAATCTAGGAAAGACGGTTGAAATTCCTTGAACACATAATGGATACATCATTTCTAACTCATCTCTCTCTCTCTCTCTCTCTCTCTCTCTCTTCTCTCTTTCTCTCTCTCTCATTCTCTCTCTTCTCTCTCTCTCTCTCTCTCTCTCTTTCTCTCTCTCTCGATCTCTTTCTCTCTCTCTTTTTCTCTCTCTCTTTCTCTCTCTCTCTCTTTACATTATTTACATGGTTCAGACTGTTGTCTTCATCTTTCTTCTCATGGTCACGACGTTTTGACCATTCTACGCTCCGGCCTTCTTCAGTTGGTTGGAATTTCGAACTGAAAACTTTGTTGAGTTGAGTTCAATACCTGGCTACTGCAGTGGTGAACAAAAACTTGGAGTGTTGAGGCATGACACGTGGAACTAGAACAATCTACCCCGGTGGACGAAATAAAGGGTTCAGTTCGAAATTCCAATAACCTGAAATAAAAAACGGCCGAAACATCGGTATCAAGTTCGAAATTCCAACAATGTAAATAATATAAATAATTACAGTACCTTTTGGAAGAAGATGTAGCATCCCAAAATCAGGGATGGAAAGATTTATAGACAGGCAGTATTTTTTTTTTTTTTTGTATATCACCCCAAGCAAGGCGGGATGCCTCTAGTACGCAAGGGGGTTACAGAGTGGGAGCGAGAGTAAAGAGGCGTGATGGAGGAAAGGATGAAGAGAAGGACAGTGAATAGATCAAGGCATCTGGTGATGTCGATTGACATTACGTTTGAATAGTTGGTAATTATAGCTATCAGAGAAGCAAGTAAGAGGAAGGGAATTCCACAGACGGGAGGTGCGAGACATAAAACTATTGGAGTAGAAGAGACGGCTACATTTAACCGTTTCGACAGTGAAAGGGTGGGACCGTGATACCATCCTAGTACCACGTTTAAATTCATGCAGTCTGGGAACTAGCTAAAGTATCTCGTCGGAGCAGTTACCGTGAAATTATTTGTAGAAAAGACAGAGGGAGGCGACGACGCGTCTGTGAGAGAGCGACTGTAGACGAGATGCCAGATCAGGGCCAATTACATTGCAAATCTGTCTCTGGATTTTGTCGAGGACCTTAAGGCGAACAGCGGAGGCACCAGACCATATATGACAGCAGTATTTCATGCAAGGGCGAATGGTTGATTTATAAATTTGAAGAATGGACTCGGGCGAGAAAAACTTTCTGGCGCGACACAGAGAACCAACTTTCCTTGCAGTAGATGAAGCTATTGATTCAATGTATTTGTTTAAAGAGACTTTCTTATTTCCCGGGGTTGGTTTATCAACCTGAAATTTATATCATCACAATATTATTTTGATAGAAATAGAAAAAATGTCTTTCAAATCAAAATATTATCTTTACAAGTATTTAAGCCCTGGCTAATGTTTCTTTGTCTAAGTTTTTACATTGGGGCACATTCTCCTAGTTTTTGAAATTATCCTATGGTTTCTAAACGACTTACTACAATGGCTGTTGGCACAGGATGCTTCTAAGATTTCCCTAATGTACAAACAAGGGTGCAGAGGATTTGATATCAGCCATCAACTCTTTCTCTCTTCCACTCCATCTGCTTTATTCTGCTTCTCTCCCATTCTCTCTATCTCTATCCCACTCTCTCTCTCTCTCTCTCTCTCTCTCTATCTATCTATCTATCTATCTATCTATCTATCTATATCATTCTGTCTATCTCCCATCCTATCTGTTCAATTCCGTCTTTAATTCTTTCCTATTCTTTCTCTCTCTCTCTCTCTCTCTCTCTCTGTTTTCTCCCTCTTTTTCTCTTTCTCGCTCTGTCTCTTTTCCACTGTCTCTTTCTTACTCTTTCCCATTCTCCCTCTGTCTCATTCTGTTTCTTTCTCTCTCTCTCTCTCTCTCTTTCTGTCTTATCCTGTCTCTCTCTCATTTTATCAGGCTCTTTCTAACTCTCTCCTAATCTCTCTCTCTCTCTCTCTCTCTCTCATTCTGTCTCTTTCTGACTCTTTCCAATTTCCCTCTCTCTCTCTCTCTCTCTCCTTTTCTCGCTGTTTTCTGGTTTTATCAGTGTCTGTCTATCTGTCTCTTAATTTGCTTTCTCTATTACTCTATCTTCCACAACCTCCTCCCCTCTCTCTCCTTCTCATTTGCCTACTCTTTCTCTACTTTTTCTCTATCACTTCTAACTCACCTCCTCTCTCTCTCTCTCTCTCTCTCTCTCATCTCTATCTCCTTTCTATCTCTCTGTTTACCCCCTTCTGTCGCTTTTACCCTCTCCCTTTTTTTCCCAATTCCTCACCCGAGAGGATCCACCCAGTTCGTCCTTTCTTCTTCAAATTACTCATAACGACCAGATTTGTTTTCCATTTTCTTTTATCGCATCAAACAAAATCCTCGTAAAGTAACTTGTCTATTGAAAGTGAGAATTTGCTTACATCCCCAAAACCTTTTTACTTGGAAAGACACTGAAACCATTTCTCATCCCTTCACTTCCTTCCTTTCCCCATTTCCACGTCTGAGGATTGTCTAAAACTTCTGTCATTTCATTATTACTTTGTAACTACTTAGGCTACACATATCAATTTAAAACCATAATCACAACATAATTCTAAATACAAGCACGAATATGCAGCTTATTTATTCAATTTGATAGTAAAGACGGAGTTTAAGGCTATTTTGCATCGTTTTCTTTCTTTCCTTCCTTCCTTCTTTCCTTTCTTACTTCTTTCCGTCCCACCTTCTTTCATTTTATTTATTTATTTGTTTGTTTATTTATGTATATTCTATCCCTTTCTTTCTTTCTTTCTTTCTTTCTTTCTTTCTTTCTTTCTTTCTTTTTCTTCTGGACTTTTTGTTGGATTTGCTATCATTTATTTTGTTACATTCCAGTTTTTTCTTTGCTAAAGTTCTTTTTCTTTTTCTTATTTCATTTTCTTTTACTTTTTTTCTTTTTTCCTTCTTTCCACATTTTTATTAATTTTCATTTGTCTTTCGTTTTTCATTTGTCTTTTTTCCCCTTTTTTTTTAACCTTTTTAATTCTTTCTATTTTTCTTTCAATCTTTCTCTTTTTTTCTTTTTCGAGTTTTTTACTTTCTTTCTTTTTTGCTTTTATTTATGCTCAATCATTTCCTTCTTTCTTTCTTTCTTTCTTTCTTTCTTTCCTTCTTTCTTTCTTTCTTTCTTTCTTTCTTTCTTTCTTTCTTTCTTTCTTTCTCTCCTGTTCTTTTTGGCTGATTTGCTATCATGTCTTTCTTTAATTTCGTTCTTACTTTATACTTCACATCTTTCTTTTCTAGTTTTCATTCTTTCTTCATTTCTCTTTTTCTTAGCCAAAGTCCCTACTTTCTTCCCATTTTTCTTTCCTTCTTTCTGATATATATATACATATATATATGTATGTGTGTATGTGTGTGTATGTATGTATGTATGGTATTGTTTTTAGGTATGCTATATTTATGGGTAAAGTGCTTGTTGTCAAGAACAGTGCGTGTACAATTATAAAAAGTGGACACTGAGGTTAACTCCAGTGTCAAATTTATATTCAGTATGTATATATATATATATATATATATATATATATATATATATATGTGTGTGTGTGTGTGTGTGTGTGTGCCTGTGTGTGTCTGTGTGTAATATATATATATATATATATATATATATATATATATATATATATATATATATATATTGGAAAGCGCTCAATATCATTGCTAGAGCTAACATATTTAGTTGGATTGATGGGAGTTTGTGACCATGGGTTTCAGATCGTCAGCCTCTTCGTAACGGCGTGAAACCCAGGGTCACAAATATATATATATATATATATATATATATATTCAGTATATATATATATATTCAGTATATATATATATTCAGTATATATACATATATATATATATATATATTCATTATATATATATATTCAGTATATATATATTTATATATTCAGTATATATATATTTTATATATTCAGTATATATATATATATATATATATATATATATATATATATATATATATATATATATCCACCCATAGCACGACTCGAATTCATGCTATCAGTGAGGGATAATATGTATATTTATTAATATATATATGTATATTTAATAGTTCTTTTATATTATGTTTTTTATTAACACCAGCAGTATATTTGCGATATATATATATATATATATATATATATATATATATATCCAAGTATATAATTGGTATATCCGGAATGAATTCCAATAACCAACAATTACTATTCTTAAAAGAGTGCTCAATACAAAGTAGAACAGATATAATTATTTTTTATAAAAAAAAATTATAACATAAGTATGTTATATAATCACTACAAAAATAGCCATTTTGTTTCAACTCTGTGTCTTATCAAATGATAAGACACAGAGTGTGTTGAAACAAAATGGGTATTTTTGTAGTGATTATATAACATACTTATGTTATAATTTTTTTTAAAAATAATTATATATACATATATATATATGTGAAGTGTGTGTGTGTGTGTGTGTGTGTGTAACTGTGTATTTGGCCAAAAATCTCTCTTTTATATTATACAAAGTGACTGACAAGTTATTGCGAATAGGATTTTATTTAATTATTCTTGTGTTCTTTTTCTTTTTTCTTTTCTAGACATAATATATGTAGAAACTGTCTTAATGTTCTATATGTCCGAGCGCTTTCGGCTATTCTTTTTAACCATTATCAAGTATCTCTTACATACATATATATATATATATATATATATATATATATATATATATATATATATATATATATATATATATATATATTACTTTTAACAATATATGAATTTTTTATGTATATTTATATTTCCTTCCCCAACATGATCATGATATATAGGATTAATACAAATAAATATGTGACTTAGCTGATTGATGTTATATTCATATATAGAGAGGTTTATCCCTTGTTACCTGTTTAAGATTGATTTTCTATTTCTTTCTAAAGTTTTCTTATTCTCCTTCACTTTCAGTAACTGCTTGCGTCTTAGGGGCGACATCGCCTTACTTGGCATGAATTGATTATGATGAAACTGCCCTTTAGCGAAAAACTTTCTTTTTTTTTTAAATTTTTACTCAACTATATATAGAGTAAGCAGGAATCGTTAATGATTAAACGTAAAAAAGTAAAGAAATATTTTTTTTTAAATGTAATTTTATTTCGTCCATTATTAGTTATTTTTAATTTTAAATACGAAATTTTCGACTTTATTTTTGATTTCATTTATTTATTTATTTGTTTTTTTGTATGTCTCGCCTTTTTCGTTTACATTTGTTTTTTTTTTTCTTTCATTTGTTCGTTCTTCATTCGTTCTTTCTTAACTTCTTTTAGGCTTGGTTAAATTTTCTTTGGAATTAATCAGTCTTAGCTGAATTTATCTGTATCATTCTTTCTTTCTTTTTATTTTGTCCCCCTTCCCATCTCTTAATCGCTTAGTCTTCATATACCTACTCTGTTCTCTCTATTTGTCTGTTCGTTTATTTTATTCTTTTTTTCTTTCTTTCTATCTTTTTTTTTTTCTTTCTTTTCCTTCCCATCATCTTTGTATGGCTTTCTTTTCGGACTTTATTTTTGGATAGATATCTCTGGGATTTTTTCTTCATTTTTTTTACTCTTCAGTTTTCCTTTCTTTCTTTTTCATTTTTTGTTAAAATTTCTGTCTTTTCCTTCTCTTCTCTTTTCAAATGATTTTTCATTATTTTTCACTCTTTCTGTAACAGTTATTCTGTCTCATCTGGTTGTCTCTTTCTATTATTTTTCCTTCCTTTCTTTTTACATTTTCCTTTTTCTATTTTTCTTTCTTTTCTTTTTTCTATTATTTTTTTCTTACTTTTTACTATTAATTCTTGATTTTTCTTTCTTTTTCTATGATCTTTCTTTCTTTATTTTCTTTTTCTGCTCTTTTCTTTATTTTCTTTTTTCAGTGAATTCTTTCTTTCTTTTCTTGGTTTTTCTTTCTTTCTTATATTTTTCTCTTAATTTTTCTTTATTTGTTTTTTTCTATGAATTCTTTTTATTCTTTTGCTAAGATTTTTCTTTCTTTATTTTCCTTTTTCTGTCATTTCTTTCTTTATTTCCTTTTTTCAATGAATAATTTTCTTTCTTTTCATGATTTTTCTTTCTTTTTTCCTTTTTCTCTTATTTTTCTTTATTTCATTTTCTTCTATTAATCCTTTGTTTCTTTACCTACGACTTTTCTTCATTTATTTTCCTTTTTCTATTATTTTTTGCTTTTTTTATTTCCCTTATTTATGAATTTCCTTCTTTTTCTATAATTTTTCTTTCTTTCTTTCTTTCTTTCTTTCTTTCTTTCTTTCTTTCTTTCTTTCTTTCTTTCTTGTATTATTTTTCTTTATTTATTTCCTTTTTTTCTATGAATTTTTTCTTTTTTTTCCTATGATTTTCTTTCTTTCACTCCCTTTATTATTATTTTTCTTTATTTATTTCCTTTTTCTATGAATTCTTTCTTTTTTTATAATGTTTCTTTTTCTAATATTTTTCTTTCAATCCTATTTTTCTATGAATTCTTTCTTTTTCTATGATGTTTCTTTCTTTTTCTTTTTCTAGTATTTTTTCTTTCAATCCTATTTTTTTCTATAAATTCTTTCTTTTTTTCTTTTCCTATAATTTCTTTTTCTTCTCTCTTATTTATGACCTTTTTTCTTTCTTATTTTTCTGCTTTGTTCTTTTCTTTATTATTTTTTCATTTTTCTTTCTTTCTTTTCCTAGTTTTCTATGAATTCTTTCTATTTCTTTTTTCTTCTTCTTCTATATTTTTTCTTTCTTTTCCATTTTCAATGACTTGTTCATTATTGTTTTTTCTTTCTTTCATTATTTTCTTATTTTTGTTGTTTATTTCCTTTCATTCTATTTTATATTTCATTAGAATTTTTTATTTATTTATTTTCCGTTATTTTATGACTTTTCATTCTCCTTTTTTCTTCTGCTAATTTTCTATGATTTTTTTAAATTTTCTCTTTTATCGTTTTCTTTCATTTTTCTTTCTTCTTGTTTTTACTTTTTCCGTTATTTTTCTTTCTTTTCCTTTTCTTTTCCGACGTATTTTCTTTCTTAGTTTTTCTATTTTCTATGTTTTTTCTTTCTTTCACTTCTTTATTTTCTATGATTTCTTTCTTCCTTTATATTTCATTTTTTTATTCTTTTTTTTAAACATCTTTATTTTCTGTTTTTCTCATTTTTTTCCTTTTTCCTCTATTTCTCCTTTTTTTTTTTCTTTTTCACCTACCTTCTTCTTCCTTGAAAGTTTCTTCATTGAACAATATTCATTTTGGTAATATTTTTTTGTGTTTATTGTAATTTCATTTATATATTAAAAAAATCATTCACTTCCCCATTCTTCATTTTGAGTTTTTATCCTTGTCAATTAATATCTATATACAACACATGAAAAATCTACTGATGGACACTTTAGCAAGTCAACGTTTTCGCAATAAATTTAATACAGGTGCACGATCGATTTTAAGGTAACCGATAGTGTGATAACTGTTTTCGTTTGGAATAAACCTTAAATTTAATTTTTTTTAAATTGTATCGCAATTTTTTTAACGCTTTTGTTTTTAAATATCTCACATTGTAATAAAAGAAGTTTGGTTATTAAATGGAGGCTTCTGGAAAACATTTTCTTTTCTTTTTTTTTTTCGAGTAGGGATGAAATTTCAACATTTTTCGGCGTAGAATTGTAAATGGCGTTCATAGATAGATAGATAGATAGATAGATAGATAGATAGATAGATAGATAGTTTTCCCTTTATCATAGATAGTTATGATTGAGATAGATAGATAGTTTTCCCTTTATCATAGATAGATATGATTGAGATAGATAGATAGATAGATAGATAGATAGATATGACTGAGATAGATAGATAGATAAATAGATAGATAGACAGAGAGTTTTCCTTTCGTAGATAGATATGACTGACATAGATAGATAGATAGATAGATAGATAGATAGATAGATAAACAGAGAGTTTTTCTTTTATCGTAGATAGATATGACTGACATAGATAGATAGATAGATAGATAGATAGATATGACTGAGATAGATAGATAGATAGATAGATAGATAGATAGATAGATACATACATACATACATACATACATACATACTGAGAAACAAATAAATAATTGAAGCGAATTCATTTTCTTTTATCGAACTAAAATCATTTTGAATTCGTAGAAAAAAAAATTGTCCGCAATTTGTTTTGTTAAAGAAACTGAAGCAAAAAAAAATTCTTTATATTCATCTCATGTCAATTAAGGATTGTAGTGATTCCGACATGTCAGGTAACTTTCATTGATTCTGTATCAGGTATACTCGCAATTTTC